AAAAATTTGACGTAAAAGGGTGTGAATGACGCGAATGCCCACACTTACATCCCACGCTGATGAAATGTCTTTTAAAAGCAATCACATTCTATAGAATAGATTCGGAAAAAATCATTTTCTTTCTGTTTTCTTGTCTATTGTATTCGCTCAGAAATGATATTGAACCAAGTTCTAACTGTTACCGCGAATATAATCGTTGTGAAATATGAACAAGAATATTTTTACATTCGCCTCTGTAAATATCCGAAGGTAATATATATACGACGAACATTAAAGTTGACGGCATAAATGAAATAATGTATGCAATAAAGAAAAGCCAAGGATCACGAGGCGAATTCATACAACCAGGTAAAAATGAAAAAATCAAACGAGATATTGCTAGTGCAGTCAAAATACAAGGAGAAATTATAATATGTTGATGTCGACGAAATTGCTGAAGAATATGCTGTTCATATGTTTGTTCTTTATGAAGAGATGCTCTCTGTCGAGCAACCATGAATATAATGAAAAGGGCCGAAATGAAATTAATTGCAAACGGCACAATGAAATGAAACATGGTTATAGTTGTATTTAACATTTGATAGAAACTATCATATGTAATCGTGCACCATATTCGTTGTTCTTCATTATCATCTAGTAGATTGCGATAAATTGGATCATGTATATGTGTTAATAGTGTAACAGAGCAAATAACTGGAATTATCCATCTAGCTATTTTTCGACTTTTAGTTTTATTGAAAGGAGTTCTTTTGTATGCTATAAAAGCTCGTTCGATTGCTACGCATCCACTGAGCCAATCACCGATACTCAAGCAAGCAAGTAGAATAAAATCCATTGAATGACAATTGAATATAAGAAATGATCGTTGAAAAATGATTGTCATTTGTGAAAGAACAAGTAACGAGAATTTAGCCATTAAGAAGATGATCGTAAGAAGAGAAATAATTGAGTTAGCAAATAAATACAAACCACAGCCAACTTCACATATAGTTTTCGAATGAAAAGTCAATATTGAGAGAAGATTTCCTAATAGACCAATTATTACCATGATTATCACTAACAAGGCACTCACTTTAATAACTAGTGGTTGACGTAGAAACGAAACATTTGATTGAATTTGATAGCCAAGAATAGCATCGAGTGAAAGACCAAAGCCTTGCGTAGTAAATTGACAATGTTTTCCATAAAAACATTCTGCACAAACACACGTAACCATTGTCGGACAGATTAATTGATCCTGAAAACATCGAGCTCCATTAAGACAGCCACCATTACTTATTCCGTGACATGAATTCATTTCATTGTGACCCATTGTGAAACATTGTGCTTCGCGACTTTCATTTCTATTCATACAATAACACATATATTTTTCATCATAAAAACAAGCTAAATTCCATCGTTGTTTACATGGTAATTGATAATATTTAATACGTCGAAGAAGAGGAAGAGACATCAATGTTCTATTCAGTAATTCACGAACGTGTCGACAACGTCGATCTAATTGAACTCTCATTAAGATTGTGCTTCGATTGTTTTCATTCATCAATGGATTATTGTCATGAATTGTATAGGTCAAATAGTATTCATTTATAGATAGTGCCATGAATGCTAGAAAGAAACGATTTGGTGTATAAAAACTAATTGAATTTTGATCAAAGGAAATCTTTTTATATATTGAAACAGGTTTATTAGTCGTCATTATCGTATTTTGAATTAAATAAATAATAGTCGATTGTGGAATTTCAATGTTTGAATGAAATTCTATTCGAATTTTTAGGTCTAATTCGCTACATATTCCATTGGAAAAGCCTTCTGGGCATAAACAATAGATATAATTTTTTCTTCGACGCATATCCGATGGTATACACAAACCACCATTTTGACAACGGCCTAATGGTGATGAACATGTAGTCGATTTAAGATAACATCGAGGTCCCTCTTTACCAAGAGGACAAACACAAATATTTGGATACATACACAATGAATCACGAGCACAAAGATTGCATGTATCATGTTTAATTGTGCAATCTTTACCTGACCATCCAGGATTACATCGACAGTAATATAATGAATTTTCATCATTGTGATTAATATATTTGACGCATTCACCATGATGATTACATGCAAACGAACATCGTAATGGTCGATAGGATGAAATAGTTATTTCTATTGCCATACGATGAACGGGAAGAAATGTATATACCAAAGGAAATAACCAACTACCACGATATTCTAAAGTTTGCTTATCATAAACATGTATTTGAATACTGTAATTCTTCATAATATCCTTTGGTCGTGAACGATAAAGAAGATAAATGTTGAAATTAACTAGATTACAATCAAATTTTTGTACATAAAGTATTTGATCATGAGATTGAATTGTACCTTCATTATCGATTAACATAGTGACAATATTGAACACTGTTCGCCAATCAGCATCATTTACAATTTTTAATGTGAGACTAACTCGTTGATTTTGATATTGACATAAATGGCCGTAATAACTCGGTGGACAAAGACATCGTTGTTTTTCTTGGTTATCATAGAACCCGATTGGCAAACCTCGATATCAAAAATGTATTGCATCCAGATCTCTTCTTTTTCTTTCCAATTCATATTTAATTGGAAGAGACATTTCGTTTTCTATTCTATTCATTGTCGTATTCAACGAATAAAGAAAATAGCTGTAATATCGTGATTTGTAACGTTCAGTCAGATAACACTTAACCATTCGATCATCTCTTGTGAAATTATTGTTACAGTAGAATAAACGATGAGCTAAATGTATGGGCCATTCACTAGTATCATTTATGTATCCATTCAATAAACCACATACTAGTGGTACAGACAGAAACTGGTAACTGATCCAACAACTAAAATAAGTTTTGATTATTGAATTGTTTACACAAAGCTGCTTTGGATATGTATAAAGTGTTGATGAATAATTTTTGATTCCACTAAAATGAGGAAATAAGCATACTTTGGCGTAATCATCTTTCTGAACGCACAGATGATCGATCAATTGGCAATTCGTATTAGTCAAGCAATGTCTTTCGTCGATACCTGTCGGACAATGCCAAATATGATCACATCTCGTGTAAAAATTATTACAATACCAAAACTCACATTCAGTCTCATCCGTTTCATAAAGATTATTGATTTTAATTGGTATTAATTCTCTGAAACCATCGCATATATTCGGAAACGAAATATCAGTTTGACTTCGATAATCCAACAGTGCAGATCTACTTTCATCTTCATCGAATTCACAGTTTGATCGACCATCATTGATAAGAATAGGTGAAATACATTTATTTTCTTTTTCTGAACATTGAAAACGAAATGTATCATTCAATAAACAACTATCAGCAAATAATTCATCATCGTTACTTATACAATCTTGAATACCATCAACAAGACGACGTTTCGAAATGCATTTCGATGAATTGATACATTGATAAAGGCTTACATCATGACACTGACTAGTACTTGTAGTTGCACATTCACTAATAAAATAGTGTTCGATCATTACGATAAGTTCTAATAAAGTAGGCTGATATTCATATTGAAAGCCGAATTTCTCAAAATTAACACATGAACTTTTATGTTGAACAAGACTCATATTCACGGAAGGAAGTGCAATACTGCATTGCTGGGGATCGTAACAAATGTAAGATGGTAAAATTCTTTCGTTTTCTTCATCTGCCCTCTCCTTCATATAGAGCAAGAAGACATGATTTAATGCGATAAAGTCAGTTGGAAAACGAAAAATTGGTTTGCAATCAATCTTAACATTGATTGCACATTCACCATAACAATATAAACCACACGTTTCATCACCAATATATTTCTTCATTTTTGTTAGGCACACCATTCCATTCCAGCATAATTCCGAAATATCTAGCAATGCCCATTCAGCTGTATTGATCACACCACGCTGATTTGTACATTTATGCAAGTCATCCACACACTCTCCGTCACCACAATTCAATCTTGCTTCACCTAGTCCAGGATGACATGTATGTTCTTCGCATCGAAATGCAGGATCTCGAAAACAATTTTCCCAATATTCCACATTATGTGCTTCATCAGTTCGATCTATACAATCTGGATTATAGAGACCATTCCGATAAAAACTTCTTGAAATACTTTGCATTCCATTATGACACAGAAATTCATTTTTACTGTTTATAAATGCATTAGAATTTTCAAGTTGCCAACAGTTTTCTTCGTCTATTCCAGTGTTAAGACAATAGATTTTTCCATCACAAATTTCACGCCAATCGAGACAAAGTGCTGATGGACCACGTTTACACTAAAATATAGATACAAACGCAGGTATGAATAAAAGCTGATTTTAGTTTTGAATTTATTAATCAGAACGCACGATCGAGAAAAGACAATGTGGATATGGATATGGATTATAGTATCTAATGAAAACAGATAATCATAACTACTAAACTAAGCTTACCTCCAACAGTTTGTAACACGAAACATGTTCGGGTGAAGCAAATTCTTTCTCATTAAACGTATAATAGACAACGTCTATTAATGTTCTTTTGTCTTTTGCTTGATAAAATGAATATTCACAAGCATTGCCAAACCAATCATTTGTACAATTATAATAAAGATCGGATCCATTTGCTGTTGAATCACCAACTAAATAGGCTTCATAGCGCTCAACGAGTTCAATGGTTGCTGCCCAATCAAGCAATTGTTCTCCAGTTATGTTTTGATTATTAAGATCAATAAAATTAAAACTACGTCCTTTGATTAAATGTTTGGCCGGAAGAGTTTTTGAGAGTTCACTTCGATTTTCTAACCGTATACAGTAGGCAATCAGTTGATAGGCCAGTGGTTCCGGATTATTGTATGAAACAATATCTTCTTCAACATAGTAGTCAAGACAATCATACTGCAATGATGTTGGATTATCATACTGATCAGTGTAGTATAGATTCAAACCATATATTGTTGATAAGAAGAAGTTGATGCAAAGAAACAACAAGTGATTTCGAGCGAGTGAGAGAATCATTACTAAATTTCTCAGAAGATTCAGTTGCAACACGTAATTAATCTTGTTTATAGTTCAATCTGTTTATTGTAAGAACAAAGTCTGGTCAACAATACATAACAGAGAAGACAGCTTTCACCTAAATCTAAAATTTGCAGTAGTGTGACAACAAATTGAATACTTAAAGATAACGCACACAACACTTTTTTCTACATCAATTATTGTCATTTTAGGAAAGAATAAGTAGATTTAAATAAAGAAAATGCTTTTTAAAAGGAGAAATTCTCTAGACGTTGTATCAGTTAGCAACGTTTTTTCTTGCCCAGAAATTACTTATTTGCAAGAAATTCGAAATATCATTGACTTGTCTAGGGAGGCTACTAAGTTTCATGATTCTGATATCGAGTTTTTATCATAGTACTATGCCCTGAACTCCTACATAAAACTGCTTCATGGTAAGTACATGAAATATTATTTTGAAGGCTTTGGATTGAATAGAAAAATGACCATCTCGTACATTCATATCTAACAGTGGTATATCAAGTGATTATAACCTTTCTTTGTAATGGCTAACGTATATCTACTCTGTAAGATCGTAGGAATTTTAAAACGAGATAAAGAGAATCATGTAATCGAATAATGCAAACATGAGTAGAAAAATTAATACAGATAAAAAAGTAGTAAAAGATTTTTGGAAGAAAATATAACGAAAACATAAAGCTTGCTAGCATCTTAAAATATGAAGTTGGTCAACGAATACGGATGTAGACATGGAAAAGAATGATTTTTCAAACTTATTCATAGCTATACTCTATCTATACTACGATAGATGCATCGAAACTCATTTGAAACAAACTTTTTTCTTTAAAAATTTATTTTTTGTTACGCCTCTAACTACTACTACCTATTAAATATATAGAATAAATAACACAGTCTATCATTTATTTATGGAGCAGAATAAAATTTTTTTTCTCTTAGTCAAGTTCATCTAATAATTTTTCTAAATAGAAATGACATATATTTTAAGATAAATATATATATAATTGCGTTTTAAAAACATATTTTCATGTAAATCAAAGTAAATTTTTCTTGCATTAAAGAGATCACGTAGTCTTTTTTCCCATACAAATATTAAAACATGCTTATATTTAAAGACTAAACAATGCTAGATATCATGTTCATGTCATTCCGGCAGCGATCGTCGATTATTTGAAATGTATTTGTGTCGGTTAAGTTTGGTATCTAGTAATTGTGATTAAGCTAACTCTTCTCATATTTTTGAGGTTACGTGTGTGGGTGTTGGGTGCGGATGTGGGTGAGGGTGAGTGTGGATGGGGTGTGGGTGGGTGTGGGTGTGGGTGGGTGTGGGTGGGTGCGGGTGTGGGTGGGTATGGGTGGGTGGAATGTGGGTGTCGATTTTGAAGAATAGAACACCAACACCCACCTCACACCCACACCCACACCCAACCAAATTTCATCGTTTTCATAGGTAAATCTAATAGCATTTTGATCTTCTTTGCTAATAAACTAGAATAGCCATTATAGTAAGGTATTAAAGTATAAATGTTATCTCCATTAGTTGCTTGTTTTTGTTTAGTGTCATGGTTATTTAATTCAAACCTTCTCAATGTTTTTCAAATTACATTCTGAAGACAATCATTTGCTAGAAATATTCTTTTACAGTAATCTAATTCTTTTTTTAAAATAAGAATTTAGATGAACACAATCTTACAGTTGTAGTACCCAGACATTCAATCAAATTAGTTTTTTATTGTTTTAGTTGATTACTAGTCCATTTCAAATATAGTCCCGTATCAGTGAGTTTATGATAAACATATGTTATACTTATTTTTTCTTATCTTTCTATCAAAACATTAAGGAAAGGTAATTTATTATTCTGTCGTGCCTCCACTAGAAACTTTATAGTTTTTTAAAAATTTTCAAAAATCTATTAAATTTGAGTGCACCTTTCTGAGTGCCATTCATTAACATAAAAATATCATCAATATATATGTAATAAATGTCAGGTTTCTTTTCATTATACTTATCTATATTCTCTTGTAAATTACTCATAGACTGACCATCACCACTCTATTTACCTGATCATAATGTATTTTTGTTAAATGTGAAGTTAGAACGTTTTGTACAATAATAAAATAGTGCTTCAAGGTCTTTATTATTCATTTTTAATTGTGGATTATAGTTTTTAATGTTTTCTATGCAGATTTTTAGAGCTTTATTTAACGTTATGTTAGAAAAAAATGAATATACATCAAATGAACACATTAATTTAGGTGTTGTTTTATATCGTTTAATTTTCTCCGGAAGTTCAAATGAATCTTTGATATAAGATTTATTGCAAGTTATAGCAAATGCTAATAATTTGGCTAAATATTTAGCTGTATTATAATTATATGAATTGAAACTACAGATACTTGGTCTTACAGGTTGATTCAGCTTATGTAATTTAGCGAGAAGGTAAGCATCTGATGTTCTAGATCTTGTATGAGATCTCATTACTTTATATTGCTCTTCCAAAATAACTCTATTTCTTCTTAGTGTTAGAAGAAATTTTATAAGTTGTTGTTGACGCTTGACATTTAAATTGGTGAAAAGATTTTTGAACACTTTTTGGCCATTAAGTAATTAATTTCTTTCATTAATAGTGTTCTCTATTTAAAATGGCAATCGTATTACCATTATTGACCTTAGATATTATTATGGTTTTATCAATTAACAAGTTAGAAATTGCATTTTCTTCTTCTGATAAATTAGGCATGTCATATCTTAACTGTTTATTTAATTGACCAGGAAAATAATTAAACATGTTTTTGATGTTTAAAATTTTCTCATTAGATGTTAAAAGTTTGTTTTTATTCAAAATAAAATAAATGTACTCCAGTTCACCTTTAATATTTAATGTACTAAATTTTTTAACTTTTATTGCCTATTTTCTCCGATTAGTTAATCAATCCTGTTCTGCTTTTGATAAATTACGATGCGAAAAATTATAGACTAATTTTTTATTAAATACATTATTATCAATAGGTCTATTCATTCTTATCAATTTATGATTTTGTCGTATGGTTATTATTTAATAATCTTTCTTAATTAATTCATTTAAATTATGATTAATTTTAATCCAAATGTATAAATTCACCTGGTTCCTTACAATTATTTCGTCTTGATTTATAGATTACTTGATCTTACTTAAATTTAAATGTTTTCTTTCATATAGATCTAATGCCACTTGTCTATCTATTTCTTAATATGCGTTTGTTTTGTCAATCTTTTTATCAAATGGTTTGAATATAATGAATTTTGGGGCGACTTGATATAGGGAATATTTTCTTCAAAATGCTGCAGATTTCTCACTACGTATTAATTTGAGTTTACTATTTTCCAACTTGCAATATAACTTCAACACTTGTCGACCGTACTTTTTCTGTATAGTATTAATTATAGAATCAGTATTTCTTGTTGTTCGTTAAATGTCTTTGATAATGCAATTTATTTTTTTATTCTCTATTTTAAATGTGCTTATTTCTTGATCTACTGTTTACAATCTAGTTATTATAACTTCTTTTCTGATTTTCTTCTTTTGACTAATATGATGTTAACAATTGTTAATGAAACGTTTCAAAATTAAAAATGAAATGCATCATTCGCTCATAATTTCTTTACTTCTTATTATCAAATGCATTTACTGAACTACAAGAAATACTGGTTCTATGGAAACTGATATTTCCTAACATTTTTCTGCAAGACCTTCTCCATCTGAAGCCACATATTCAGCTCTGAGTTAGTCACCAGGACTATTCATGCCTCGTGACTCCTTATTGTTGGGTGCTTGTTACTTATAGAACCTCACATCACCGTTCTGAAAAATCTATTCATAAAGCTCTGATGGACATATTACCTTCACTTTTAATAGAATTGGAAACCTCTTAGAAAAACTAACGAGACTTTCAACAGATTCTAAGATAATTCCGTCACGAAAACCCATTGTAATTCGTTTTTAGCGAACAATAAACTTGTTTTTCTTTCAATAAGTGACGCTCCAAATAAAGTGTCGGAAATTCAAAATTAAAGCAGAATTTATTTTTATATATGGCTAGATAAAGCGTGAGGGGCTGACCAAGAATATCGGTGTTTTCATGTTTTGGAATGAGTTTTTAGAGGCAAATTTTCAGTTTTTACGATCGTCTACTTTTCCCGGAAAAGTATCAATATTTTTGTTTCCTTCAAATTTTAAAACTATTTGTTCCAGGTTTAGCATGAAAAATTGAATCTATAAAAACTATGAGGCTATTCAGATAAAACATGATCGTTACATAGGTAGTTTTATCTACAAAGAGCTACAATTGACTTTCATATCTTATTGGAATCGCCAGTGGTTGTCTTTCAAAAATATACCTCGAATTTTTTGAGATTCTATATTGTTGCTGAGAAAACTCATTTTCTGGACCTTATCTCACCGCTTTCTCTAAATTCACCACTCTCGTACTCAAAACAAACATTTAATCGTAATCACCACAGAAAACTGAGTCAATATATAGGTGTTTGAAAATATTTTTAGAACTTTTATTTTGCTCGAAAAAATCTCCTCCGGTCTACCTTAGGGTTAGGTGAAAAGGTCTATTTGCTAAGTAATGCCACTCTAAGTATGCAAACAAGGACACACATGTGCGGCATATTTGTAGATCCGAATAACAAAGATAAGTGTTGACTGATAATGACATTCTGAGGAAATTATGCTAAAAATATCAAGCCGATAGAGCATGTCTTGATGGTACAGGAATAAAAATACTAAGATCATAAAATTTTGATTCGGCTCAAAATTATTCATTCAGCCAATTGTTCACGGAAGAAAAGAGTTGAATTCTAATGATAGATAAGAAATCAAATTATTTGTCTATGAACTTCTCATTTTAATTTTTGTCCTTCAATTGAACACTAATAATCATAGTTTCCTTATTTTCTTCTCACATATGCCACACTTGAAAGTTGAATTTCCAATGTTCAATTACTCGAGTTTTCAAGTATTGAGCTCTCGTATTCACGTTTTCCTGGAAATGCATGCAAGTGTATCTCGGTTGCTGACAGTGCCACGAAAGCACATGCACAACTTGTCACTTTTGGAATGCCAGAATAGTTGAATATTTGAATATTTGAAGGGAGACTTCAATAATTCAATTCAACTTTCAAGTTTGGGATATACGAGGAGAAAATGAGGGAACTATGATTATTAGTGTTCAATTGAAGGATAAAAATCAAAATGAGAAATTCGTAGACAAAAATAATTTGATTTTTTATCTATCATTAGAACTCAACTTCTTTCTTCCATGAGAAATTAACTGGATGAATAATTTTGAGCCAAAACAAGATTTTATTATTTTATTATTTTTATTCTTGTATCATCAAGACATGCTCTATTGGCTTGATATTTTTAGCATAGACAGTCTGAGTGCTTAGCTACATTTTGGTGAAAATCGCAACTCAATATCTTGAACTGGAGGAGAGATTTTGAAATTAAATTGTTATTCATTGGTTGTCTGAATAATTTTAAGCGCCACTGTATATATTCAGAAAAGATCGGTTTTGGCATGAGTTGCAATAAAAAAGAGTTCTCTCAGTAACAGAATAAAATCTCGAACAACCCAAGGTACATTTTTGAAGTACAACCTCCAGAGATTCTAATGAGATATGAAAGTTAATTGTATCTCTTTGTAGATAAAACCGTATCGCATTACAAAATGCTTGCCCGTAATTCGTAACCCTCAATCCTTGTGGTATCTGAGTTACGATCATGTTATGTCTGAATAGCTTCACAAATGACTACTCTATATTCAACATGTCACGCTGAATTTGAACGAAAGAAAAAAAATTTACCTATATTTCAAAAGAAAATAGATCAACGTAAAAATCTGAAAATTTTGTAGAAAACCGACTTTAAATTAGCTAAAACATTTTCGAACATTTGTTATTCATTCTTCGAATTTTAAATATTCAGAAAATGCTTGATCTTCTAAATTATCGACAATCACTTTCGATTTGAAAAAAATCATTGTATTAATAATGATATCTTTCTTACAACTGTTTTAGAGAATCAATCATTATAATTGATTATGACATTAGACGTGTAATATATGA